GCAGATGAATCGCTTGTCTGACACTGGCGTTCCCACGTAGTTGGCATGGATGTAGTCGGTGGGTGCACCAGGCCACTTCAAAACGATTCGATGTTGGTCCTGACATGGAACATCCTGGTATCTGAAATGCTCTGCTGACTGTAAATAAGTCTTGAGTCGGTGGATTTGGGCAGCAAAATTACCCGGGGCGTGGCGAAATCTCACGGTAAGGTGACCTGAGCCTGGGGATGGGGTGTAATGAGATCGGGGGAAAATGCTCGAATTGGTAGAAGGACTGGACGTTTTTGCTGTGCTGACGGTTCGATCCTTATTTGGTGCCGAAATCCACTCTGACTCCAATTGAACCCCACCCGAACCCACATCGAACCCTACTTAAAGGAATCTTCCACGGACCATGGACCAGTGGGCGGGACCGGAAGTTTTTGTGACGAAATGCATGGTAGGTACGGATCCACGTGTCGAACGCACGAACGTGAACAGGACGCGACACGCGGTTTACTGCGCACCCGAGTAAGGGTTGACGTACCTGTTCCTGCCAGCTTCGTGGTTGTTTTTGAAAGCTTCCCAAGTCATCTCCGGAAGCGTGTATTTGGCTAGTGCCCGATATTCGGCTCGTAGCGCTTCGACGCCCATGTCCAATGCCCGCTGTACCCATTTGGCTACCTAGGTTTGACTTTTTCAAACTCTCAGTCTCTCGCTGTTTGAATGTCGGCTACAGCTTACCACTTGCTGTCCACTCTTTGCACACTGAGCAACTTGTGGTACTTGTGGTTGTGGCGCCCCTTCCTGAAAGACGAACAGTTGATACCGAATATCTGACTACCTGGCGCTCATGTCCTTAATGGGGACATTCAAAACGGGGCATTCAAAAACCGCTGGTAGGTGACACTAGGACTAAGCCCAGGATTGGGAATTAGCAGCAGGGAGCTGATTGATTGCTGACATACTCTCAGAATCCTTTTGCCTTAGCTGGCAACGAACGAAAGCTTATTGTTAGAGGTGTCAGTTAGTCGCCCAGTAGTGATTAGTGATGGATCAGTGCAGTTATCGACTGCGTTCCGAGACGTCAAATAAACCCACGGACCAATTCTGGAGCCCTTAAAGGCAGCGATTCGACGAAGACGTGATGGTGGTCAATGGCACGCAGTGGCGAAAAAAGCTGAGAAATCTGTCAAGACGACGCACTGGGGACCCTCTTTTTGACCGTTCGCTTTCTTCACTCATGAACAGGTAACAGCTCAGAAATCGTCGTATGAACGAGTTCACCGCAATGCGTTTGGTGGCAGAATGCCAAACCACGGTCCAATCGAGTTGCTCCAGTTGTGCCGCTGCTAGCAACGCAGCTCGTCCAAATCACCAACTAAACTACTTTTGGGCGGAGTGCTTTCGAAGTCCTGCTCAGCAACCAGCGCACCTTTCGTCGTGAAAGCGCCACATCTCGCTTCCCTTGGCAGCCAAGTAACCTCTCGGCTAGGCTAATAATGCGTCTAACAAACATAGTTTTCAATGGTTGCAGGCGAGTTCGGAAAGTCTTCAATGGTTGCAGCGGAGTTTGATAGTAACGAACACCTCAGGAGTCCTCCCAATCACACACATCTCGCTATTTTTTCCTAGTCAAAATGCCCACCTCCTTGTGACCTATTCGCAAAAACGAACACTCCCTACTATAAGCGCATTTGCACCTTGTGAACCGAAGCCAAAGGCATACGTCTCGATGGTAAGGCTTCTGACACGTATCAGAGCGCTATCACATTTATACCCACTCCGATCCTCTGTTCAGAGTGCGGTCGTACACTCGCACACGACATCACCAGTGTTCATTCAGAGCATCTCATACCACTGAGGTGGGCTGGAATGTGGCAGTGTCCTCAGTTTGACCCTCATATGCAACGTTCAGAGTTCGCGCTCGCACATAACCAGGCTACTAGGCAATTCGACGTAAGAAGAAGGCATATCTATCGACCAGGTAAATAGGCAGGTAATCGAGTAGGCGAGTAGGCGAGCAGCAGTGACTTACTCTGCATACCTATCGATTTGCTTGCTCCGCCCACTAGGCGATCGCTTGAAAGCCTAGTAAGCAAATCGCATGCGTGATATTGAACTATGAACGTCGTATTACTGAACTCTCCGGATGGCGTACCTTCTTATTCCGAGGTTCCTTTTTCGTATCTGGTTTTTCTGTTTTTTCAGTAAATCCGGACAGCGGCGCGTCGGCCGTTTGGTCTTTGCCGTTCTTTTTCTTCAACTTTTTCGAGTCTCTTAAAGGCGCTGTATTGCAAATACTGGCTCGATGATCTCTGCTCTTACCCACTTAGCAGCTTAACACTTAACACAAAACAGTTTGATCAAAGTTACTGTTTTAGGCTAAGAGTGACGTCATCCTAGACTTACGCTGACGTTTTGTCCATTTATGGCAAAATTATGAGCGCTAGTGTACTTAGGGGGAGGGCATCGCTGTGACCGAGCCTGGGAGAAGAGATGCACTTCCAGGAACAATGAATATCACCTGCACACCCACCTCCCCTTGTCCCCACTTAGACCTGGTTGGGCTAGGAGGGAGGAATACGGTTCGAGTTGGGCTGTCCTGTAACGATGCCCCCCCCTAAGTTCTTCAGCGGCACAATAATATAGTTGAAAACATACTGTGAACCTTTCTTGAGACCCATCACCATCGCTCGTGTTCCGGTACTGCAGCAGGGTCTCAAATGAACCCTCCCTCATCTTGCTGCTGTGATAAAAGCAACAAATAGTACCTGATACTACAACAACCGGTGATGATACTTCGTGATAAACATTTGTCTTTGTGGAAGTATTCGGCCGTGCACGTTTCACTGCCATTGCTCTTACGATTTCCAGGTGAAAACCCAAAAATACTGTAGAGTTTGGCGCTCATGGCTTTAGGGGATACTCAAGACAGACCCGATCGTAGGTGGCACTAGGACTAAGTTCAGGAGAGTGGAGAAACGCCAGGGACAAAATTGCTCACCCTCTCCCTGAGAATACCTGCCGCTTCTAAGGCATGGTACCAGGCGCTATCGCAATATATGGGGGATCCTCTAGGACTTAGTTTAGGAGGGCGCAGAAGCAGCGGGGTCCAAAGAAATGTCCTAAGCTTCTTAGTCTCCCCTCCTCCTCCGCCTAAGGCTGAGGTCCATTTTTATGAAAAAAGGGCGGTTTACGCGGTTTTGAGCGCACTGACATTACAATGCCCCCGTATAGTGCGATAGCGTCGTCCCATGTACTGTCAGTGGCTAACTCGCTTGAATGTCCTCCCTAACGACATCACCGCCCAGAATTCTTTCGCTTTCTCAAGAAATGCCTAATTTCTTGTTGGAATTGGGTGGGTTTTCCTTCTTGGCAATCGTTCCCTCCCTCTCCTTCCCCATACTCCGCCCTCCATTCTGTCTGCCCTCCCCCCCCCCAACGCCCGAAGTAAGCAAACCAGCCCTTTTGGCGTTTCTGCTGGGGCCGTATGCTGAATGTTGGGAGGGGATGGGGTCCCCGACGGTCGACGGACTACTTCAACTCGGTCCTTAAAACCGCCTCAATTTGATGCTTACCTCAGGGTAAGCCTTCACTCCTCCCCCACATTCAGCATACGTCCGTCAGCAAAAAGCTAAAAGGGCTGGTTTGTTTACTACCAAAACCCGAGCCCTCAGCGCATCTTCTGTCTTAAAGCACATGGAAGGAAAATATTTAGTGATTTTGCCAAAGTCGTAAATCAGCACATTCTATATGAATACAGTAATCCGATATCATTCATTAAGGAGATCTATTTTCACAAATCGCGGTTTGCCATGATGTCTGACGTTGTACACCTCTCGAGCCATGTGACTGCCGGTGATCTGCTCTGGGCCGAAGTAGGGATGGAAAGCTGGTAGAGGAGTAGTTGCTGAAATATTCATAATTTGATTGCCTTCGCTCATGTGCTTGTGGGGAAATTCAGTACAGGGCCGATGGTAGGTGGGTCTAGGACAAGCCCAGCAAAGAGAGGAAGTGTTGGGGAGAACACAATTGCTCACGTGCTCCTCCAGGATCCTTTCCCTCCCTAAGGCTTAATCCCCCAAGTGCAGTAATTGGCTCACTCGCATTGATGTCCCCCCTCCCGCGGACATGAGCGCCCTTGCCTCAATTTTTCGATTTTGAATCCATATGGTTCCCAACTGGGTGGTTTGCAGTATAGAGTGGTAATTTATGATGTTCTCAAAGATCGAACCGAAGGTAGCGACTTTGGATCAATCGACAAAGTCTGGGGTTTTTCAAAAACGCTCTCTAAATACGGGTATCAGTGGGTGAGGTGTATTTGGTCCTTGGGGATGGAGTGAAACCACGGATCCGACAGCAGGCGGTCGTTACACGGAGGTGAAGGGAGACGACTGCCTGCTGTCGTTGTCTGTCTGTCACGTTCTGCCCACTCTAGTTGAAGGAGGGCAATGTCGAACCATAGCGTCAAAATGCCATCCGGTAGTAACTAGTTATACGGTAAAAATTGCATCAGTGAAGAATTACATGGAGGACTTACTGATTTCTGGGAAGAACGTCATTGCAGAAGGTTGCGTAGTTCTGGTGGTCCTTTCTTGTAGAACTAAAAGGCTACAGTATAGAGATTTGGAATCCACACTTACTACGAACAATTTAATTTGATAAGGCATGGCCTATATAAGGCGAGCTTGCTAGCTACTGAAATAGCTGTGTGGTCTTTGTTCCAAGAGCCAAAATGACCTCGTCAGTTAAGCTTAGACGATTAGTTGTTCCCATGTGCTGTGCCTTTTCTTGGCTTACCAAGAGTCAGGCAAAAATAAAGGATCATCATGATCTGTGCAAACCTGCTATCACGGTGGTGGTGTCTCGTTTTGGTTCTGGTGTGGGGTAGCGAGGTTCCTCTTTGTCAAACCTTCCCATCGGCCATGATCCCAGACGATCCGTTTCCAAAAGATCATGCCCTAAAGTATATCGTCCAAGTGAGCATAGTTTCAGTGACCAAAGAGAGCCAGTCACGTTGGAAAAGAGTGGGTAGAAAAGGCGAAATTGTAAGCTAAGCGATGGTCCGAACATTTTTCAGGCGTCTATTCCAGTTAGTAGGCATCGTGATGCAGTTCCTCGGCGAACTAGTGTGAACTCGAACATTCCAGCTTTTCACGCATGTCAAGTGACTGCCCCCCCCCCACCCCCTAGACTGGCTACACTCCCCTGGCTCGGAGTTACCGTAACTTTTTGGAAAAACTGCATCATGATGCCCCCTAACTGAGTAGACCCTTTTTCAGCGATAGAAGCAGATCAATCAGCGATTCCATTGCTTATATCGGGCTTTATTTGTCTAGTATTAGGAGTCAAAGAGAGTCAACAAGCATCACGCGTTCGCCGCTGATTCAATCTTTTCAAGATATGCCGCGTATGTGACTTCCACCGAAATTTCAGTGGCAATTGAATGCGCATTTGGATCATGGACCTTGTGTGTAGTGGCGGTATCCCTGGTTTCTTTCTGCTCTATCGGGCCGAATTTTCTGCAGAAGAGCAGACGTTTGAGAGTGCGTAGGTCTTTTTACCGAACAAAATTTGGCCGCGTTAAACATCTCATGGAGTATTAGGAAGCAAGCTTGATAAGAGAGGAACTATGTCGTTTGTTATCGTTCAGCAATTAGGTGGCATTTATCACAGAACGATTGTGGTTATACCAGAGTCAACCCTGCGTTGCGCAGTTCGCAACGGCACGTTGAGAGATCCTCAACGCACGCTGTATGGGCGGAGACACAGACGGCTCGAGCATGCGAGTGTGAATGTTCGCGCGAGAGAACGTGTCTAATCGGGCGAAACTGCGCAACGTGGCCGTTGAGAACTGCGCAACGCAGGGTTGACTCTGGTTATACGCCTAAATCTTACTATTATACGATCAATACCTATAGTTTGCGTGGGCCTTGGAGCTATACCATATGGTGCTGGAGGAAAGTTCTCGATCGACACCGTTCTTTGGTCCGTTGATAGCTCATCTTTCCCTTAAAACAGAACAGATCATTGCTTCATCGGCAATGTACGCCGTAAGCGAGATTATGTACCTTGAGAATATTCCTGGTTCGTCCAAGTGGTTGGCCCAGGTGCGGCTACGTTCACCCGAGGTCGTTCAAATCGAGCTTGGTTTGCGGTTTCAGGGAAAAGTCCTTCTCTGAAACCAACTTGGGGGTTGTTGTGCCTTCTTTCGGGTACCCCCCAGGAGGCCCGTCGCGCGGCAAGAAGGCAAAGTCAGCGGACGAGTCGCGCGCGTACTATAGGGATTTCGCGTCAAGTTAAGCAGAGTGTCCCACTGCACGTCCCACCAGGGTCAAGCGTCACGTCCGAACATTTTCGGGATTTTTGCGACCCCTCTTCCCTCCCAGAACACAAATACGACCCCCTCCCCCGTTCGAACAGTTCGAACAGACGGTTGACCGTGCGTCCCACATCGCACACCACGCGCTGCAACTCGTCCGCCGACTCTGCTCTCTTGCCGCGCGATGGGCCTCCTGGGGGTACCCTCTTCTTTCTCCACTCATATCTTACCTGTGGTCAGGATAGGTCCTGTATTGGGGCCTTTGTGGGCGAATAGACTTTGTTAAAAGGGGATTGTGATGGAAGGGCTTGTTAGGCTCCAGTCCTTGCACAGGTACAGCCGGGACAGAGGGCAGCATCACACTGAAATCATTAGTGAGTTCTGTGCTTTTTATCGGTAGGTGGTACTACCTGTTAGCTACACCGCCAGCAAATCGTGCTAGGTTCGTATCGTAGCCATCGAGTGCCATGGCATTTCTGGCGTTGTTTGCTGGATTGGCTGGAACGGCTGCCGATGGAATAACGGCGTCACGAGCCGGAAGAAACAATCGCTGCTCTGATAACGGAATCTGATTGCTTATATCTGAAAATCAGAACATTTTTGGGAAAATCATACCCACTCCATCGATGTGAAAGGTCAGATAGATCGAAAACTGTTTACAATTAGTTTGTTTCAGATGACTGAAAAGCCAACAAATTTCTTTCAGTCATCGCTAGCCCAAGGAAGTGTCAGTGTCCCTGCGCAAGTCCTGGTCCAAGTAGGTCGTCCATAATTTAGGGTTAATTTTGACAAAAGAATATTTGCTAAAATGTCGATGGCTTTGGAACATGGATTCCATTACTGTCTCTTCCGAAGGGTTCTTTCATGGGTATCATGCTCATAGCTGAGCTGATTTTTGACGGTTATCATACCCATAGAAGCGCTACAAGGTTACTACAATAAACTGGATCTCGTTCATCCTGGGCGGATTCCGATCTAATGGGCGCTCCTAGATATGTCTCATACGCCCACTTATCCCGAGTGCTCCTGCATGTTATTATGTGTTGTGAGCCTCTAAGGCAGTGAACTCGACGGCTCGGGGATTGAGCGGTTTGGATGACGTCATCGAACGTCATTGATGGACTGGGTTCCTCAGCGCGTGAAGGCCGTGGTTAGGACGAAGTCGCAACGCCATCCTACCAATTGCGCTCAATTGCCTCACAAAAGTCGCTGCGCCCTCCAGCCATCGTGTCCACTGCTATAAGTTAATGCTTTTTGCGTCTTTTTTGCTTTCTGGTGAGAAGAGGATTGCTTCAATAATCAGAAGGTGCCTCCAAGGTGCAGGGTGGATCAGACTCGCTGAATTCCTGCTATTATAAAGGAGACTACATAGGAACTAAGAAAACCAACCATTTTGCGAAGGCTGTAGTGTTTGATCAGGAAATGGGAACGTATACGGTGATGAGTATCTAAATTATCGATGTGGAATTATTTTCAGCTGAATCAAACTATATCGGAAAATAATATCTAAAAACAAATTACCATTAGGTAAAGAGTTTCAGCATTTCAAATCAGACCTGGGATTACTTGGAGCCAAAAATCGAGGTGGTGGTGGCGGTCTTACAAAAGGGATCGCCCTCTCCAGAAAATCAACAGCATGTGACAGAATCGACGCGCCGGCTTCAAAAGGTCCGAGTCATCCACCATTTCGACTACAGGCGATCTCGTTGTCTGAAAGAACCCGGCTGCATTGAGGACTGCTTGCTGGGGTGAGTTAAATGAGATCTTACCGTATGCTTCAGTACCATTCCTACAGATTGTGGTCTACCGTTGCTGGAAACTACAGCTCTAATGGGAGCATTGAACGTGCCCTTGTAAGACGTGCTTTCCTCCGATGCGCGATGGTTCTGAAATCATCAGTGGTTTTTGGAAATCAGGTAGGTAATTTTGACCGTTGACCTACGGCCAGCTTTTTTTGTAAATCTACACAGAAGGGTGGCAAAAGGTGCCTTTATGGCCTTTTTGAGCTCCCTTTTTGAGCCTTTATGCGCCTTTTTTGAAAAACAACAACACACATCGATAAACAATAAGCATAAAAATATTAGTCGGTCTCTCGTGATGCTACCTCTAACAATGAGACTTACTTTCTAGCAAAGAAAAAAAGTACCAATAATTCAGATAGGGGGTTTCACCTGTTTTCATTGAATAGCTGATATGTTTTACGCCGCAGTTTGCGTTGTAAAAGTTCAGCTAAGAACGCTGAGTTACGGGCAAAACTTTCGCCCCAGGTGAGATTCGTACCCTCATCTCTTTTCCGTGGCGGACCCTGCGACTGCGCGAGACTAGCGCTAGAAGAAGAAACTCTCCTACTTTCCGGGCATTTGTGTTACCGGTTACAAATTAAGTTTAGCCCATAACTCAGCATCCCTCTGATAATTATAATAATGTAATACAGTAAGAAATCATAACTTCTGAGCTATATTTGGTTTAGCCACAATTATCGTGTAATTTCCCCGGAGCATTGAAATATGGACCGGACCTTCGTCATGGCGTCAATCAATCTTCCACCAGGATTGTTGTAATCGTGAATGGCTGGCGGGATGCCAAACCAGCTTTGCCCGATAGTATTTTTCTGCTGGAAAGACTGGTCCTGTAGATCGCCCAGCAGAGGTGCGTCGTTCTTTCGAGTCTCGCCTATATAGGGAATTTCCTGAAAAGCTAATGGAGCTACGGTAATACAATCGCTGTTAGAGCTGCGTATTTGCAGGCTAATCTATAAAAATGTGGTGTAGGTAAATGAAGATTAAATGATTACCAGTAAGTCTTACTTTCATTATCAGGAGAGCTTCTCTTGAATGCCTCGAATTGGTTCCCCATCTTTTCCAATAGCGTACGATCTCGGCCTGATATCCTTCAGGTCATCGCTGAATGTGGCGGCTTCGATGGGAACTATCCTCGGATGGCTTGACTCTTCCGTCTTGATCACTTCAAACGCTTTTGGGTCCATTGGTGATGGAATAGCTTCGTGATTGAGAAATTCCTCGAGCGATCGTTGATGCTCTTGTGAAAGAGTTGCAATCGTACCGGTCAGAAGAGCCAACTTTTCATTACCACTCAGGGAAGTGTTCATTAAAATACTGCTAACCTCGCCGATAGCCTGAAATTCAAAATTTAAGGAATCGTCTTCTGCCAGGCCAATATTTTCCCTCAAGTCTCCATTACAAACAATATGGAGAGAGGAAATAAGTCGTGTTACCTTCCGTGGCAAAGGACGGTACCGTCCTATGCAACTGGTCAAGTCTCTTCTTTTTCTCCTCCGCAAGCATCCGTGCCAAAAGTCGAATGTCATCAATCACTTTTGTAGGAAAAACACCTTTGTCGAAGAGGAACACAGAAATTTCTGTCATCTTCTGTATTTTGGACTTGTTGCTGAAAAGGTTCCATAAACATATTTTTAATAGCCATTTATTGTTTCAATCGGTACCAAGAGGAAAGGATGGCTTCGATTCTGCTCAGCATCACGGGGTCGTTCACATGAGACTGTAGCAGTGTAGCTGCCTGTGACGCAAATTCCAAATCACAGTCGGGGACGATCTGAAAAGAAAGGATTCTGATGTGACAGCAAGAGAAGGAAACATTTCTTTCACAAGAATAGAAGGTTATTAATAAAGCACTTGCCCTAGGCGGGACTCGAACCCGCACTTCTCGCTTACCGGCAAGCGGCGCTACATTGCTCAAGTGAAATTTACCGAAAAGTTGCTAAAGCTTTCAGCCTTGCGGTCATTGCCGATATCGGCTAACCGGCTCAACACGTTAGACGTGTGAGTGCTGAAAGCTATGGTACGTATACCATGAAAAGCTGAGTTGGGATGAAATGGTGCCCCGGTAGCGTAACTGGTAGCGCACTTGCCCGGAAAGCGAGAGGTGCGGGTTCTAGTCCCGCCTGGGGCGAAAGTTTTGTTCACAACCCAGCATTCTTGTGAAACATTCGCAACGCGAACTGCGGCGTTAAAACAGCAGTTAACAAACAAACCAAGTCATAACATTCCTTCTAAATCTGTGGAAAACCAGCAGAGCTTTGCGTCAAGATCAAACCGCGACGTTTTCTCTCAATATTTACCAAATTATCAAAGTTGTTTGGCGTGGACTGGGTAGTTTGCTTGACGAAACTCGCCTACAGCCTCCACGTATTCAAGCAGAGATAGAATTCGTGGCGCATTTCCGCTTCTCGTATTTTCCTCTTTTTCCTTTGCTTCTTTTTTATTACAAGGCATGCTTGGAAAATGTAAACTCAAGCGTGTATGAAGGACAGCCATGGAATGACGTCGAAAGGATCGTTCGGAGGCTATAATAGCCAGGTCCCAATATCATGGGAAAGAGGAAGTCCAAGGGACAAACCTGGCTCTGCGAAGCGACATTTGCACCAAGAACTGTGAAGATAATCAGCAGCAACATTGTCATGAGAGCAGTGGAGAAGTAGTCATTGGAAGATACTGAAAAAGTTCCTGTTATTCGATTTGTCGTCAGTTGAAAAGCTCATATTCAAACGTATGAAATAATAATCTGCAGCATACTAGGAATCGTTCAATTCCTAACTGGGAAAGTTCAACTAAATCTCCTCAGCCAGCTGATCACCAACTGCTCACGAAGATTCGCATTAGGGGCTAAAAAAAGCCTCCAATTTTCGTTATAGAGCGGCTGCTCAGGTAGCAGAGCAGCCCTCCGGCACGGACACGGTAAGCACTGTTCCATGTCCCACTCACGAATCCCCATATACATATGTAACAAATCGTTTCGAAGAAGCGAGGAAATGACTTGGGAAACCTTCCTGGTCAGGGAAGTACTTTTCAACGTTACTCCAGGACTCAGCCTAAAGGAGGATCTGAAGGGGGAGAGGGGACGAAAACGGCTCCCGTACACAGCAACCTTTCCCATTTCGGGGTGTAGTCTTCAAAGTGATTTAAATGCGCTGTTCCCAACTCCTTGCATTGACTGATTGAATTATCGCGTCATTTAGCAATTTTGCTTCAGAAAAGGTGGAGTGATAGGCCGTTATTCAGATGACCCTTGAAAGTCGTTGCATACGGTTTATATGCTATGAAATTTCACCTCACCTTCTGAATAAAAGTGAGGTATCTGGCGCAAATCGGAAGGACTGTATAACAACAAGCAACACTCTAACCTCAGCGTATAGTAAAAGAAATTGATTACGGTCTTAAAGGTGTTCACGACAAATGGTAGGAATGTCAAATGGGTGTGTCCCATTGGCTGAAATGGAAAGTAATACATAGGTAGAAGGTACGTAGCGAGCTGCATTGCGGGCTAATCGGGGATGATAGTACTAGTAGGGACTGGTTCTGTTGGTCAGGTAAGCCAGTAGAGTACGGAGTTCCAATTATATGCGCTGCTAGCTATTGTATATTGCGCGCTGAGCTCTTTGATCAGCGTTTACCGCATCGTGTTGTTCCTAGGAGTATTATGGGCTGCGTGGGGTAGAGAATTGGCATAGAATGACAGCGAAGGTCCCACCATTTCCAGGCGTTGATTTGTAGAAGTTAGTGGGGGAGTATGCATGAGGAGCCAATACTACAGGCAGGCAGTCAGAAAAGCTAAATCACGGATGAAATGTGCAGGTATTCTGGTATCAGTTTATTTATGGGTTGATTAGACCCCCTTGGCTCAGGCGTTCGCGACTACTGGAAAAGCTGGTTCAATATAACGAGAGATGGGAAGCCTTAAAGATTCACGTTATCCGCAAATACCAAAAATACGCATATACCAATTTATATTATCCGAGGCGCCGACAAACTATTCTAAACCGAGTTGCTACGTTCACATGGCTAAGGCTTGAAAAAATCTTAATTATTTCAGAGAATGGAAACGTTTTGAGGGCTCCAATTCAAAATTCTATACATAGCTGAAAGAATTGAAGAGTATGACTTGAGTGAGCAGTGGAGATCAGAAAGCGAACATGCATGTGGAATAATCAAAGAAGGCCAGTCGCAGGGGAGCACGCCTATCTTAGTCGCATGTTAACCCTACAAAAACAATTGCAAGAGCCGCGATCTTTCAATGCGCTACAAACGCCAGATGACGGGAAATCACGAGTCTTCAACAAAACAAACCTCCAAATCAGAAATGTTACAGCAGGATTATCTGCTCGGAATTCTATTAGAGCTAGACGATATAAACAATTTTTATGAAAAAGTGCGAGCACGGGGAGCGAATACGAAAAGGCGGCTGGTATCAGTTCTTTAGGTGTGCCACGACGTTGGTCCAACTCTTCAGTGAAAATTTGGCATGTAGCAGTTTTATCTTATGAGTTCCCTCGAAAGCCTGGCTTATATAAGCGAAGACGCCTCCAGTACAGGCAGAATTTAAAAGATACAGTGGTCCGAAAGCTATTACAGATGTTATTCGAGAGCTCCACAACTTGCAGCTGGCAGCATAGCGGTCATCTGCCTCCATAGTGGAGGTGTATATGTTTGTAGTGCACTTGTCCACGGTGTTTGCTGACATATCCGTGAAGTTCTCAGTGGTCAGCGCAGATGCTCGGTGGTGTTCTGACATGAATCGCCGACAAAATATTATTTGCAGCATGCCGCGTAGCTACTAATGAGCTCAAGACTAGGAAAAACTGTTCGGTTAAAAAGGATAAAGCATTTGCCGTTGATCAATCCCTTTTTGGGATGCGGCACGCATTCTACTTCCATTTGTACATTCGCAGTGGCGTTTGAATGCGATGTGGCCTATACAATGACTTGCGGGGGCCAGCCGATGTCAAGTCAGTTTTTATCCTCCCAGACAAGTCTGGTACCAATTAACCGACCCCGGAGGGATGGAAGGCTTGGTTGGCCCGGGCGACTCACGACCCAGGATTTGATCCCGGACCGCTCGCGTGGTAAGC